ACCGTCAGGCCGGCCGAGGTGACTCATGAGAACTATGGACTTTGCTCCCTTTTCCAGACAATACTTGATGCTGGGGATGGCAGCCTTGATCCTCTGGTTGTTTGTGATATGGTTGTTCTTCATGGGAACGTTGAAGTCTACTCTCATGATGATTCTTTTCCCCTTAACATCCACTTTGTCCAGAGTCAACTTATGAGAAAGAGACATTTTGATGGTATGCTGAACAACCTCTTTGCTGCTGTTAGAAGGCTGCTTGGGTGGTGATTTTTAACGCTTCTGTCTTGACCCCACCCCATCTCCTGCACAACAACCAGTGATAGACATAGAAAGGAAATTCAGCTCTGTGATTGGTCCACGATCCTGTCTGTCTTGATTTGGAAGTTTTTGCCGGGTACAAACTCAAACTGCCATCCTAGAATGCTAAACAGTGAAACCCAGAGCTGGGCTGTAAGGATGGAGAATTAAAACACTTTCTAAGAAGTGCCAGAAGGCCAGATTTTTTTTCCTCCTTGTTCAAATTTCCACATCCCCTTTCAAATTTATTTTATTCTTAAGAAAATAAAAAGCATAACCAACCTTAAGATCACCAAAAAACTATATGACCCTTCCCCACATCAAATCTCCAATTACATTATTGAATAAAAATCCTCAGCAATGCAAATGACAAAAATTTGAAAGCAAGTTTTTTGTTTGTTTGTTTTTTTTTTTTTTGTTTGTTTTTTTTTTTGTTTTGTTTTGTTTAATTCAGGGTAGCATGAGATGTGTGTGCTATACTTGATAAATATTTCTGCTGAGGCTGGTCTTGAACTCAAAGAAACCCACCTACCTCTGCCTCCCCAATTCTTGGATTTAATGGCATGTGTCACCACCACTCGGCTGGTTTCTTTAATTTTTAACATTCATTTTTTCTTATATGTCAGATCCTGTTCTACGCATTTTACATAGATTACATTTTTTTTTTTTTTTTTTTTGTAAAAGTGTTTGCATTTCCCTTTGAGGCAAAGGATACCATTATTTACACTTTATAGATAAGGAGACTAAAGTACAAAATCTTATCAAATTAATTAGTAGCAAATCCACGATTTCTAGGGTTTGGACCAGGTTATGTTATCTCTCAAATATATTAAACCCATAGGTCATTCTGCCCAATAGAATTTTTGAATTTGGGATTGTTTGAAGAAAAAATTGTTAGAAATAAGAAAAGGCAAGACATTTGTCAGTGTTACAACTTAAAAAATATTTTAATGTATTACACCAATAAATAACTTCCTCATCTCTGTATCAATTAGGTGCTTCAATTACATTTAGTGACAAAATCAGAATTCTTTCTTGCCCTCATAATATTTATGGTCCAGCAGAAGAAACTGCTATGTCTTAGTCATACCAATAACTAATAAAAACAAACAAAAACAAAAAAATCAAAAAAAAATTCTTCTGAGGTCATAATTCGGTGCTGGGCATGGGCATTGTGATATATTCTTGTTTTGTGTAGTAATCATGTATTTTTCTTAACATGTTTTTTAATTATTTATTTTTAGGCTTTGGTGAATGCTTGTTGTCTCCTGCAGAAAAATAGCACAGGAGCCTAGTAAATGGAACATCACATTTTTTTCAGTATTCAGGAGTTATGATATTGTCCTCTTTCTTTCTTTCTTTCTTCCTTTCTTCCTTCCTTTCTTATTTCTTTAGCTTATTCCTTGTATCATTTAGAAATCAAATATAAAACATGTTTCTTGAGTTGAAATGTCCTTCCAAAAATGAAAATGTTGATATTTTCTATTTTTTTTTTCTTTGCTGGAACTTACAGCATCTCACGTATAATATAATATCATCAAAATATAATCATTTGAGTTCTTTTCCTATCTGTATCCTTTTACTTTCTTTCTTTTGTCTAATTGCTCTAGCTACCACTTCAAGCACTGTGGTATAAAAATGTGGGATAGTGGACAACCCAGTTACTCCTGATGTAACAGAATAACTGAGTTTTTCTCCATTTAGGGTAGTGTTGGTTGTGGGAGTGTCATATATACACTATGTTGAAGCATGTCCCCTCACTGTCCTTCTTTGTCCAGGACTTTCATCTTGAAGCCATGTTGTGTAGGCAGACCTTTCTGTCGCTCCAGCCAGTTCAAAAATAACCACACAGAGACTTATTATTAATTAAAAGTGTTTGTCCAATAGCTTAGGCTCATTTTTAACTAGTTCTTATAGCTTAACTTAAACCCATTTTTATTAATCTGTGTGCTGCTCCAGGCTCATTTTATTTTACCTCATATATATATATACTTTCTATCCTGCTCACTATGTGTCTCAAGCATCTCCTCATGACTCCTCAGACTCCTCCTTTCTTCTCCTCAGCTTTCTCTCTGCCCCTAAAATCCTGCTTAGCTACCAGCCAGTCAGTTTTTTATTAACAATGAGAACAACACATCTTCGAAGTGTACAAAAGGATTATTCCACAATGATGTTGGATTTTCTCAAAGGCCTTTTCTGCATCTATTGAGGAGATGGTATGATTTTTTTTTTCTTTTTTGGTCAGAGTTACCTAAACATACATTGAATATCAGGTTTCTAGGTCTGAAGTACACAGTAATCCTAACTAAAAAGATCCTGTCTGAAGGGATTTTTAAATATATTTTTTGAGAGCAAGCAAGTGGATAGCACATAGGAGGGACTTGGAGGGGGATGTTGAAGGAAGGAAGAATAATTGCACTTCAGTGGTGTAGACCACATTTCCAGCAAGATATTTAAAAAATTTCCCAAGTTGAAGACATACACAATCAGACAGAAAAACACCCAGAACTTCAAATAGACAAGATTAGAAAAGAGACACTCATAAAATATTATCTTTAAAACACTAAATACATAAAAGAAAATGAAGATCCCCCGAGCTACAAAATTAAAACCACAGGCCAAATATAAAAGAAAGCCTATCAGATTAACAGCTGATATCTCAATGGAAACTAGAAAAGAGAGAAGAGCCCACAGCAATGTATTTCACATTCTAAAAAACCATAGATGCCAACCTAGACGATTGTTTGATGGGAGATGTCATTCTGTATATGTTTTTCATACTGGTTAATGAATAAAGCACTGTTGGCCAATAGGAAAGGAAGATAGGAGGGACTAGGAGACAAGGAGGAAATAGGAAGTAGGAAGGAGAGTCAAGATGGAGAGTCTGGAGAGAACAGAACTGCCATTCCTCTGCTCTCGGTAAGACCACATGGAAATACATAAAAATGGGTTAATAATTAAGACAAAGCTAGCTGATTAAAAACTAACACCTGGCCAATAACATTGTATCAAATACAGAGTCTCTGTACATTATTTGGGGCTGGCATCGTGGCGGCAGGACAAGACCAGGCGGCGGGCGGAAAAACCATACTCCTTACAATTGTTCCTAGCAAAACTATCTAAATCGCTGAAAACACAAATTCTCCTTCTTCTATGCCTAAGTCCAAAATTTAATAGTTCCATGGTATACCAAGTTTACACATTCTTTCCTGTATGTGTCTGTTAATTTTATTTTTTTAATTTTCTTTGCTAGAATGGCCCAGTTTTTTTGTTTTTTGTTTTCCTTTTCTTTAAGTCCTTATATTCTATCATTTATTCCATTCATTCTACTTATTCTTCCCCTGAGCTTTGGTTAGTTTTCCAATTCTGTCTTCCTTTCAGCTGGAGTTCCCTATAATACTCCTTTGTCTTCCTGAATATGGTTTTCCAATTCTGAATTGTCTTCACCATTCATTTTCATCGTGTGTGGGATGTGTGTGTGTGTGTGTGTGTGTGTGTGTGTGTGTGTGTGTGTGTTTATATTAGACAGCACTGAGGCACTCTTTTCTTTTATGTTATTTGAGATGTTTGTTAATGTCTTCTTTAAACTCCTCAAATTCCTTGGTAAAACTTGATGTTGTTTAAAAAGATTTTTGTTTCTTGAGGTTCATTGTCATTGTAAAGCATTTCTTCAAAACTAGCAGATTTGGTGGGATAGGGTCATACTGCTGGGGCTGTATATATTATGGTTTTGCAATGAGACCAGAGAGTGTGGATTTCTTTCATTAGTTGTATGTCTGATGTTAGATTGTAGAGTGCCTCAGAGCTGTCTCAGTGCACAGGGGGTCTTAAGCTTGGAATTACATAGGGGCCTCACCAGTCTGTGTGGACATAGAGGATAATAATCTGTGCTAGGCCTGAGAGTTGGATATGGCAGGACAGGGAAAGGTCATCAGCGTTTGTCAAACTGAACTCCACTATTGATTATTAGTTGAGGTATGTACTGATTACTGCAAACTCTTGTGAAGGCTAAGAACCTTAATGTAAATAAAAATTAAGAAAGCTGTATCACAAATATTGTGTAGCACCAGACTGAAATAAGTTCACACCAGTACTACGGGAGGAATAATATGCAAATACTAAGACTTATTTATTTTTTTTTAAAGCAACCAAGGCCATTGGAGTCATCTGAACAAGCAAATTCTGCTCATTAAGTTTCATTGTAACAAGGTGTTTGAGAAATCCAACAATGAAATGTAAGTTGAGGATTAGAATTTGAACCACTAATTCTGAGGAATGTGAAGAATGAAAGGTGAAAAGGAATCAAAGAAAGCTAGTGTAGATTTTTTCTTTTTATGGAGAGAGTTAACTATGTAAAACTAGGAAAGATGACTGAGAGTTATGTTGAAAATATGTGCTGTTCCTTTATGTCATTGTGCTCTGGGAACCTGATTCTTATTTTCAAGGCAGTTTTGTGACCTTAGTCATGCAGACAAATGATGTATAATCTCAGGCTTGACTCAACTCCATAAATTTGTCATAGAATGCAGAGATCAAGCACCAAAGGTATTATTGATTTTGTTATTGTGAAATCTTCCGTGATAAATTAATTCTGCTGAATGGGACAATGTAGAAGAAAGGTATCTTTGCTATTTGGAATCATTTGAATGTATGTACACCTATAATTTCCTGGTGGAATGTGATAAACCTAAGTAGAGGATGTAGTCTTACTTCACATGGCCCTGTTTGTGTGTACTGGAAAATTTAGTGAATTTTTCCTTCACAGTTGCATGCAGCTTTACAGCTTTCTTTCACCATCGGATGATTACAGGTTAGTGATCTCTTCAGATCTTCACAGTTAGAATAGCCGTCTTCATATTCACAAATGTTTGCTGAATAAAAACAACAAAGATATCCATTACTTTGTTATTATTTTTCTTGTATTAACAGTGACAAAATAAAACATATGAATTGGGAGAATGGGGTTGAGCAAATGAATAGGTGTCCTTTAACCTAGAGCTTTGTGAGATGTCTTTGAGATGAATTGATGTATCTCTTCACTAACGAAAGGCTTAAGAAAATTAACTTTAGTGATTCTTTGAGGAACTGAACTATCGAGAGGCTAGAAAGATGGCTTGGAGACTAAGACTCCTTGCTCTTCTTGAAGAGAACCTGGTTTTGATTTTTATCATCCACATGGTGGTTTAAGACTACCTGTAACTTGAATTCTATGGGACCCTGTTCTGTCCCTCATGGTCATGGAGCCCAAGTGTGGTGTGCATTAATACATGCACATAAGTGAACACTAACATTTAAAGCATGAAGTAAAGACAAATATTAAAAATAACCTTACTATTTAAAATGTCATTCATTATGCAAGTACCTTTTAAACTTAAATAAGTTAATATTTAAACTTTCATTACTATGTTCTATAGCTACTATGTCCAACAATGTCCTTATGTGAACATATCAAGTATTGCGTCATTCCAGAACGTTCTGTTGCTCATGATTGACCTAGACATTTACTCTGTCCCTAATACCAGAGGAGGTAATCTTATGAAGACAGGGGCTTGGAAAAGTAGGTAGTGGAAAATGTTGTTCTGATTATTAAATGTTTATAGCTAGCCTGGCATTTATGGTGCACACCTTTAATCCCAGCACTTGTGAGGCAGAGGCAGGCAGATCTTTGTGAGTCTGAGGCCAACCTGGGCTACAGAGCTAGTTCCAGGACAGGCTCCAAAGCAATACAGAGAAACTCAGTCTCAAAAAACAAAAAACATTCAAAAACAAACAAACAAACAAACAAAAATAGTCAAATGTCCACCAGTACTCAAGAAAATTCATTCAATACTTGTCACATCTTTGATGTGTATATACAGCTCATGAACCTACATTTAGCTCTCCCAGTCTCAGAGAACTGGATACTCATAATTACCAAAATAAGACCATATTTGTCCTCTATGTTTTCTGTATTTTTTTTTTTATTGACACAGTGTTTCATTGTGTTGTCCAGGCTGGAGTCAAGCCCATACAATCATGTAACCCTGCCAATTCTACCTCCACAAAAGCACTACTGTGGACACATGGCTAGTCATCTTTCCCTCTGTGTGGTAGTTCTCTTCAGGGTTACAGCCTGCCTCTAGACTAAGGGAGTATCCCCCCCCATGGGGAATGTGCTTCCAAAGTCCCTTAAACTTCCCATGCCTTCTAACTGAGACCCATGCAGGAGTCAGTACAATGCTGGTTTCCCAGATATCAGTCTGGGGGTCCATAAGCTCCCGCTTGTTCAGGTCAGCAAAATAAGTGATACCATAATAGAGGGAGCCATTATATGTTTTAAGAGAAATCTGGCACTAGGGAAATGTCCAGAGATCTACAAGAATAACCCCAACTAATAATTTAAGCAATAGCGAGAGTCTACCTTAAATGCCCTTCCCTGATAATGAGATTGTTGACTACCTTATATGACATTCAGAAAAGGGATGGGATGGGGGTTGATGGAGGGACCAGGGGAGAACACAGGGGAGGACAGGAAGGTGCAAGAACTGGGATTTATATGTAAAATAAGCTTGTTTCTAATTTAAATTATATATACATACATATGTATATGTATATACATATGTATGTATATATAAATATATATATATATTCCCCTCACCACATAATAATCAAAACAACAAACATACAGAATAAAAAAGAATATAAAGAGCAGAAAAGGAAAAAGGCCAAGTAACATAACATATAAAGGCAAACCTATTAGAATTACAACTGACTTTTCTATGGAAACTCTGAAAGCCAGAAGGTCCTGATAGATATTCTACCAACACTAAGAGACCACCATAGATGCCAGCCCAGATTACTATAGCCAGCAAAGCTTTCAATAACTGTAGATGGAGAACAAAATATTCTAAGACAAAACCAGATTTAAACAATATATATCCACAACCCAGCCCTACAGAAATTTCTAGAAGGAAAGCTCACAAAAACATAAGCAAATATAATCCCATTTTACCAACAGCCAAAAGAAAGAAGAGGGAGGAGGAATCCACACACAATGTCAACAACAACAAAATAAATAAGAATTAATAATCAATGGTTATTAACATTCCTCAATATTAATTGTTACAAGTACTTTCCCTGCCAGGCTGGTCCCACAGTCATGTCAGCCCCAAATAACACACAGATACTTGTATTAATTATGAAACTGTTGGCCAGTGACTAGCATTTCTTATTGGCTAGCTCTGTGTTATTAACCCATATTATTAATATATTTATTTCTACAAGGTCTTATATTACCGAGAACGCCAGACTCATGCATCTTATCTTCTTGAGATGACATGGCGACTCTGTCCTAAATTTTCCAAAATCCCCTACCTCTCCTATTTCCACCTTTCTTGCTTCTCTATTGGAAAACAGTTCTTTATTCATCAACCAAAAAGAGAAACATATATATGGAATGGCATCTCCTATCAATTAATGGTCTTAGCTCGTCTGCAAAAAGACACAGGTTAACAGAATGGATACAAAGACAGAACCCATCCTTCTGCTGCATACAAGAAACACATCTCAGCTCCAAAGACAGACACTACCTCACAGTAAAGGGTTGGAAAAAGATCTTCCAATCAAATGGACCCAAGAAGCAAGCAGGTGTAGCTATCCTAATATCTGACAAGTTAGACGTCAAACCAAAATCAGTCAAAACAGATGAAGAAGGTCATTTCATATTCATCACAGGAAAGATGTATCTGTACAAATTCTTAATTCTGAACATAAGTGGCCCAAAACACTCAACCAGGGAACTCTTACATGTGATAAACACCTCCAGCAAAGTGGCAGGATACAAGATTAACTCAAGAAAATCAGTAGCCCTACTATATACAGACGATAAAGGGGCTGAGAAAGAAATCAAAGAAACATCACCCTTTACAATAGCAACATATTAAAATATCTTGGGTAGCTAACCAAACAAGTGAGAGGCTACCTTAAATGCCCTTCCCTGATAATGAGATTGATGGCTACCCTTCATGCCATCATAGAGCCTTCATCCAATAGCTGATTGAAGTATAAGCAGAGGCTATACTCAGCTAAGCACTGAGCCAAATTCCCGGAATCCAATTGTAGAGAGGGAGGAGTGATGAGCAAAATGGTTAAGACCATGCTGGGGAACTCCACAGAAACAGCTGACCTGAACAAACACAGAGGTCATGGATCCCAGAATGACAGCTTGGAAACAATTGTAGGACTGAACCATGTGTGTGACGGGAAGTATGGACAGTCTCTGGGGACTCTGGTAATGGAACAGCATTTATACCTAGTGTGTGAATGGACATTGTGAGCCCACTCCTCATAGAGGGATAGTCAATTAGCCTAGAGGTAAGCCTAGGCCCTGCCCCAAATGATGTGACAGACTTTGATGATCCCCATAGAAGGCCTCACCCTTTCTATGAAGCAGAAATGGGGTGGGATGGGGGTCAGTGTGGGGCATGGGAGAATGGGAGGGATATGTAACTGGGATTAATACATAAAATAAGATTGTTTTAAAATTAAATAAAGAAATAAAAACTGCTAAAATAAAAATAAGGATCTTTTCCTTTCTATTTCTGTTTATAGTCTTTCAGTTAACTGTTAATGTTAGGATAGACTCATTCACAAGAACATTATGTAGATCTGTGACTATTTGACTCTTTTTTATTTTTACCTTTATAATCTTAATATCATTAATACTTTGAAGTTTACCTATACAAATACACAATAAAGAATTCTGTAACTCACTGGAAAATGTACAAAAATCACTGAGAATTGCCACCTGAATTTACCATATTAATTTTGATACTATATTCCATTTTTATAAACACCATATTGCTGTTAAAGTTCCTTAATGTAGCCCGGCCTCACCTGAAGTGTGATCAATATTTCAAACTGGGTTTGAACACCTAATTTTCCTTCCTCTTCCCCTAGGACATTGGGATTACACTTATTGCTTGTTTTAATATCTATAATAATACTAAAAATGAGATACTATGACATTCATTTTACTCCCTTTCTGTGATGCAATGCTAAAGTTTTAATGAAATAATAATATGTGTAGATTTTATTTAGACTCTAAATGTCTAAATATGTACAGACTCTAAAAATGTACAGAAAACTTCAAAAACAAAACCCATGTAACTGATGATTAAGTGGAAGGACTCAAATGATAACCAAGGGCCTGTGAAATGGCTCAAGGCAAAGGTACTTGAGGTCCATCTCTCACACCCATATTATGGAAGGAAAGGACCAATTCATACAAGTTGTCCTCTGACTTCAACAGACAACCACACACAGATGCCATGGCACAATGCATGTTCCTGTACATATACAGAGAGACACAAATACACATTCACAAATAAACAAAATCTTCAAACAGATACCCATGTTATGTTATAGTTGTATCATAATAAAACTTACTGCACAGTCCGTCTTCACAGTCATTAGGACAACTGCCACAAGGTTCTCCTATTGTGTAAGGAGTGTGTATCCTTTCTAAAAAATTACCACTGAAATTGAAAGGCAAAACATTAGATAGTTTTATTTTTCTCTGTACTCTAATGCTTGCATATATCACACCCATATATATCCCCTACATATATATACATATATACATATGTATGAATATACATATATTCATAAAAGCCTATCATTTCCTGAGTATTCAGATATAGATGTAAAATAAGGAGATAATTAATCCATTCACCTCAACTATCATCTCAGAACCTGAGCAACTGGAAGAGTTTAAATAAGAATATAAATGTTTAGAAAGAAACATTTTAACATTGAAATGCTCTTTTTGTTTCTGGATGAACTTGGAAAATTATTAAGATAGTGCAGCACAGGATGCTTAGAAAAGTTTAGGGTTTTCTGAAGGAAGCATATGGGTATGAGACTCTAAGCTTATCAAAAAATGAGAATGTTAATTAGAAAAACTATGTATAAAAACCATCTGAAGGGTGCATACTCTTATAGTGACTAGCCTGTGACTCAATAAGATCATCGCTTCACTGATTGTCTTATGAAAATAGAGAAGTCAGATCCCCCATTGCACCAAAGATGGCAAGGATGTGTGGGCATCTCCTCTAAATGTTGAGCACAGCTCTATGTGTACGAGCGATCTTAAGACTGAAAAGTCATAAAGTGTTGTACAAGTTCACTTGCTTCTCTTCATTATTCATCTGACACTTCTAGGTGCCAGGCCCCCGATGCCACTTATTTGAACAGGCAGCTTGATGTCGTCTAGTGGCTTCTTTCTTTGTATTTCACTTAATGACAACGGAAACATGCTTGAAAATCTTTGAGGACCTTACTTTTTAACTTAGATGCCACACCATCTGTGTTACCCACAAACAGAATAGAAATGAATCATTTGAAAGGCTTGATTTGAAAAGGATCTCAACCTTATGTTGCATAAGTTTCTTGTATTGAAAAGAGGAAAATAGAGCTGCAGAGATGTCTCTGCTGTTAAAAGAGCACATTCCTCTTTTAGAAGACTTGGGTTTGGTTCCCAGGACCCACTTCAGGTGCCTTACAACTGTCTGTAATTGCAGTTCCAGGGAATTTGATACCATGGTCTCCACAGGCATCTGTACATATCTGCACATACCCACACATGGACAAACACACATGTGGATGCAGTTAAAATATTTTAAAGAAAAATTAGGTTTACAGATTATGAATATATATATATATACATATTCATTTTTCATGACAATGTTTTTAAGAGCTCAAATATAGAAGGGAAGTGAATTTCTGGCTTTAAAATCAAGATCTAGTGAATGGGTTTTTCAGAATGTTTCAGTAAATTCTGAGGAGAAAAGAGTTAAGATTTTAGTTTTCTTAACTGTTTGAAATAGTCTAAGGACCTCTCAAAGCATCTATGAAGTCTACTATTTAATAAATTCTTCTAGGTATAAGTTAGCAATGTAGGGCTGGAAAGATGGCTCAGTGATTAAAAATGTTTGCTGTTCTTGCATGGGATCCAAAATTGATTCCCAACAACCATGTCAAGTAGGTCATACCACATTTAACTTCAGGTCTATGGGATTCAATGCCATTTTGTGGCCTTTTAGGGGTATGTGTGCACATGCAAAACCAAACCAACAAAAAACTAAGATTGGAAAAATAGCAACTTGGGTAGTCATTGTTATGGTTTTATAGAAAGATATAACTATTGGTTATTTTCTCCATTGGTAGCTTACATAGCATCTTCTAATACTATGAGAGTCAGTCTGCAGGAAGGAGGCTTCCAGGTGAATTCCACCTCGATTCCTCCAACCCGTGTCTGAAGTTGCTGATGATTTTAGCAATAGGTTGTTATTTTCAAGTTCATGGAGGCAACCAAGGGTGATGGCAAAAGGCTGTATTGCCCTGGATAAGGAGCTACAGATAATCTATGGGTGCTGAGAAAGGAAGAATCAGTTTTCTTCAGGGGGAGACTCATGATAGGTTATCCAGCCACAAGTAGTCAATCTGAAACACTTGCACATAAGAGCAACAGGAAATGGACTTGGTGGTATTATGTCTGTGCATGTTATGATATGTGAAAGTATGTATAGTATGTGTGTGTGTGTGTGTGTGTGTGTGTGTGTGTGTGTGTGTGTGTGTGTGTGTGTGTAAAATAGCAAAGATGAGATCATGAATTTGACAGCGAATGTGGAGTTGGATGATTTGGAGTAGGAGAAGAAAGTGTGTAAATGATGGAAATACAGTACTTCTATATGAAATTCTCAAAAAAATATGACTTTTTTTGGAGAATTTTGAGACAGGGATACTCTGTGTTGTCCTCACTGGCCTTGAATTCACAGAAATCCCACTACTGCTTCTCCCAAGTGCTGGGATTAGAGGTATAAACCTCTTATGACAAATCAAAATTTAAAAAGGAGATATGTCAGCATAATTAAATTAGAAACCCCACAAATCACTAACCTGTGTCATTTATTCACATTCTCTTCTGCTTTAATATTAAAAGTTTGCCTTGTGACCCACAAACATAGCAAGAACTGACAATATGAATCTCACAATCCCTACACTTTGCATATTCATGGGGTGACCATTAGTCAAGGGAAAAGCTATTGAGGAGGGAAGAGAATGCATTTTTGGAGATAAGGGAAAAGATTCTGAGTGTGATTCATGAAAATGAAAAGTTGGGCATTTCAAAGTTTTAGTTAAATATGTTTTTACTCTAAAAAAAGATTTAAAAGTTTTTATTTCCCTCCCCATGTGTAAAATATATTTTAATATGCTTTATACTATAACAATTTTAAAAAGTGCCAAGTTGCATTTGACTTCGTTGAAAATGAACTTTGAAATGGATACTTACGGAGGACAGTAGTGGCAAACGTAGTAGAATCTCAAAGGTTGGTCAGGGCACTCAGCAACTCCACATGCAACTTCGTAAGATGTATTCCATACCAACTATACCCCCAGAGACAAAGGCAGGGCACATGTCAGAGAGGAAAATAATGCAGAAAAACAAATAGAGAATACAAAATTTAGAACACCACCTGTGTACTTGGTTTCTGTATATGCTTTTGGACATATTTAAATTATTGAATCAAACTACAGAATTTTTATATGAAAATATTTACACATTTAGGATTATCATTCTGTGTGATGTAGAATATTTCTAACACTGCTTCCAACTGTACAGTCATGTGACAATAAATAGCAAGAGGGTCACCTGGGTATCAGGTCAATTCCTGGTCTGACATCAAATTGACCATGGTGTTGCTGGTGACTAGCATTCAGATAAGTACACTGAAGTGCTTTTGCAACAACAAGTATCCTGTGTCCATAGAGCTCTGGCTTTGAAAGATGAACCAGAAAGTCCTCTCAGCAGCATAGAAGATGCTATTCAAATTGATGCTAAGCCATGGCCATGAGTACCTTCCTTCCTAGTAGGCAGAGACACTGGGTGGATTGTAGGTCCAGCCTGGTGAGATGCTGCCACTCAGTCATAATGCATATTTCCTAGAAGTTGGGTGTGGTGAGAGCTCCTATGTAAAGCCTTGGATCAAGCTATGGATTTGGAGTCGCCCATGCCTATAACACTTCTGGATATTATCTCCTCCAAGCCAAGCAGGACCTTTATATCACCCTCTCTTCTAGGTTTCATAGACCCTTTTTGACAGTGGACAGGATCATAATTCTTGCTAAAAGAGTCACTTTGTTTGATAGGAAAGGGCCCAGTACCTGGGCCTTCAGGTCCAGCAGGAAGGGTTTCTAGTAACAAAACTCCAAGAGATACCTTTCCCCTTTCCCCTCAGGAGCCACACAGAACTGATGTACAGCCCAACCAAAATCTGCATAGGTGCCTTACAACACAAACACTTTTGTTTGGGGACAGGAGCCTAGAAATTAGTTAGAAAACAAACTCAAGTAGGTATGTATATCCCTTATAACAATTAGAGAAGCAGTTGAAAGAGTCAGCTCAAATAGACAATGACTGTGAAGACCAATGTACAAGCAACCACTCTAAACCATTCCCAAGGATTTATGGTTGGTGTGCACCCTCTGCATAGTTCCTGAAACTAGGAAGTGTGATATGACAATAGGAAGTCCAAAGCCAGTCTGGGCTACATAGTCAGACCCTGTCTGGAAAAGACAATAAAAATTCTCTGCACCGAAATTCTGTTTTGAAATCTGTCAAGTAATTACAAATATTTCCTTATCGAGAGTACCTTTCCTTACCTGAGTATAATGTCCAATTACTGCACCAGATTTTTTGGGCCCTGAACCAAAGACAAAGTCATTGGATTCATCAAACCAGCTTTGGATTGCTTCAGACCACGATGCTGGATAACTTGCCATGAAGAGGTTCTCACCACATCTTATGTCTAAGGAAAAAGATAGGCCACTCATGAAGACAGCGATAAGGAAAAAAGAGGAACACAGATGTGCGCGCACACACAGGCACACAGGCACACATGCACGCATGCATGCATGCATTCACGCACAACACAGATACCACACACAAACAAGCGCAGGGCAGAATCCCTGCTCTTTAAAGACATTGCTCACAGTTCCTTCTGAATATTTGTAAGAAGCACGATTCATCCATGATGAACCCTTAGCTGAGCAGTAGCCATAGGTATTCAGCATGTGTGTACTGAATACCAGAAGCACTTAGTAGACAATGAAGTCTTTGTCTCAGTATCTTCTCTCCTTGAATTCATTCATTCACACATTAAGGTTTCCACACCAGTGTGCACGTGTGTGTATGTGCCTCATGTGGGTCAAATGTGGATTTGCAGGCTCTGAGAAGACAAACTCCTTTCTTTCTCTCCTGCACTAGCTAGAATTTTTATATGAAAATATTTACACATTTAGGATTATCTTTCTGTGTGAGCTTTGCACAAGTACAAAGCAAAGAAAAGCAGGAGGGACTGTGTTTTCAAAGTTTATAGGTTATTTCTTAAGTAGATGACTAAAATTTCACGTGTCAAATTTTCTTCAGAGAACGGAGGAAAATATCTTTTAACCTCCAAGACAGTTTAGTATTTTTTATCAAGCTCTGTAAAAATACAATTTCTTTAACCTTTAACTGCATATAGAAGCATGTTAAGCAAAATTTTCATCATTATGTAATTACATTAGAAATATCTAATGAAAAGAGATGATTAATTTATTAGGTTCAAATTGAGCAAAAATGTGATCTTTTTAAATATCTCAAGAAATATTTTATCACGTGGTCCATTTATTTATTTTGTCACCATTTTTATACTTCCCTATGTAAGCATTATGTTCCATCGTTTAATTTTACATAATAGACCTTTCAGGCACTCCGACTACACATAAGTTGATCTCACCAAGAAAGAGCTGGACAGACACACATTGGTGGCTTACAAACAAAGTTCCAGTACTTAAGAAGCTGAGATTGAAAGACCAGAAGTATGAAGACAGCCTGGGCTATATAGTGAAACCTGTCTCCTCTTCACTAAAAATTACAAAGGAAGTAGTAAATGTAAATGCCAAGATATTTAAGATTTCTTAGTAAAATTTATAGTTGATCAAATTAAATGCTAAAATAAGATAGCTTGCGAACACAAAAAAAAAAAAAAGCCACATCATAAGATAAGATACTGAGTTAAACAATAAAAATTCTAATTTCAGAGGCCTGGAAACATGTAAGAGGATACCTTGCTATTTCAGCAGACTTGAATCCAACCCCTTGCATCAGCACAGGGCAGATTACAACCACCTGTGAAACCAACACTAACAATCACCTGTAACCTGTACGCTTCAGAGGGTCTACTGCCTTCTTCTGGGCTCTAGAAGCGCACTTACATATACATACATGTGCAGAAATACACAGAGACACACATACACATAAATAAAAATAACGAGAAAATAAAAAATAGATTCTAATTTCAAATTTTCATCCAGACTTCAATTTCTAATATTTAAAGCAGAGCAAGTGACGATCCGTATCTTTTTCACTTGTGATCTGGTTGATCTGGTTGCTAGGCTCAAAGCTGGCATCATGAAAGACAGTTAGTGTAAAATAGAAAACGTCTAATAGGCACAATGTGGAGCCTTTCAGAGCCATCTCTGCCCCAGAGATATTTAACTTTTAAAAAGCAGTATCAGAATAGGTGTTTATTTGCAACATTTTGTTTTGCATGATACCAGAAACTGGGCTTTCCTGTGTTACTCCCCATTTATTTCTAAGTGATTTTGAGTTTACATACGGATTGTTCTCTCTTCTTGTGGACTGTGTTGTTGAGTGCACAGGTTTGCCCATCTCTGTGCATTCACTTGGGCATCACCACTCCATTGCTAAAGAGGAAAGGGAAAGAGGATAGCCATGTAATAACTCAAACCTCAAAGTAACATGATCTTTGCAGACAGGCTAATATGACCAGCTTGTATGTCATTGCAAAATTTCTGTAGAAACCCTCTAATTTTCACCATAATCAATTTAGTATATGGTACATAGCTGTATTTTTATTTTAGCATCTATATTATCAGCTTTCACTGCAACATTCATAAATAAGTTTATTTTGGCATATTGTCCTGATCCTGCCCATCCTCCCATGCACGCCTTCCCACCCATAGCCTCCCTCTGATGTCACACATGCTCCATTTCCGTCCCCTTTCCACGGCTTCTATAGTCCCTTTCTCCTCTCTCATGATCTTCTTAGTATTTCCATAACCCGTGTCAGAAGTTATCCCCACTTATATATGGTCTTTTCTATACTAAATAAATACAAGTAGTCTGTCTTCCCAAGGTCATATATATATATATATATATGTATATATATATATATATACATATATATATATATGAAATATTTAGTGGTCTAATGACTTCCTGAAATCACAACAGGAACCTTTAAAGACTTTGAGTGATTGCTGTACTACCAGTAGCACTAACCATGTAGAAGAACTAAGACTGTTTTTACAGCAGTAAGAGGTTGCCTCATAAATCCTAGCTTCATTTTGTCCCCATTAAAAGAATTTAAGAAACACATGAACCTTAAAGGAGAGATATTCTGACCCTAAATTAAGAGAGAGGAGAGTGAGCCAAAATAACACGGTGGCTTTTTACTGGAGACCAAAATCAAAAGATTTGATTTTAGCTCCATCACTATAGTTGATACAGCTCCATAATACCAATGAGTCACTGCTACAAAAGAAATTGAATAAATCCTACTCTGATCATAGCACAGCTAAAGACACAGAAGGAGAGAACCAATTCCAGTCTCTACATGCATGCCTTAGAATGTGGACACACACGAACACACTCTGACACACATAAACAAAATAATGAATACTTTAAAAAAAAGATGCTAGAATAGAGCTAGACCCTCTTAAAGCACATTGGAGAAAGTAGATGCTAAAGGCAGGCTCGAAATACCGCTCTCTAAATGCACTGTCCCTATGTGGCTCCTCACCATCTTTAGTAAGTCACTAGCAGGTGGAGAGACTTTTCTTCTCAGTTCGTTATGCTTGTTTACAATTTCTTCTTGTACTGACTCTCTAGTGGTTGACAAATTCTCAATATCTTTATTCTGAAGAGAAATAAAATTAAAGTCATGTCAGTATATGTTAAGGTTGCATAAAACGGTTAATAAATTGCCTAAGGTGAAAGGTCATTTTTAAAGTACTCAGTATAGTTGTAGTCATTAATCCTTGACAATAAATGTTACGAAAATCTATAACACTTTCATTAGGGACACTTTATACAGAAATTTTGAGAATAAAAATGAGTTCATGGCATGTCAAAGTAAAAATTCTTCTGAGGCTACAAAGGTCAATTTTGAGTTAAGAAGGACCTATAATAATAGCCATACACAGGTAGAGCCATACATGTAGAGAACCTGAAATCATTAATACTCAATTAGGTTGTAGCAAGAAAATGTTAAGGATTAAGACATAATTTATTACAGATGATAACCAACCTGACAAGGACTTTGGAAGCTTGAGAGATAATGTGTAGGTTCAGACCCAGTACATTCAATGTTCTATTACAAGAAGAGAATTTTGTAACAGGTTTCTGCACTAACTCCCAAGACAAGTTTATCTAATAGAATATCCAACTCAGTTTGGAGGCCATGGGTTCTTGATCATAGTTGAGTATTACTGACCCTACATTTTACTGAACAGAAATAAGCCTGCCTAGCTAAGTCAGATCCTGATATTTAAATTTATATATTTGCATTTGTGCGGGACAGGTGGATGGAGTGATACTATATGAGTTGGCAGAGATATAAGAGCCATTTGCTGGTAGAAACAGACTCCAAAATGCACTGTTTTATAGTTCACAGCAAGATATTACAGCATAATTATTGATGAACAGAGACTCGCATGCATTTTTGCCTTACTGCTGGCAGAAGTTGTTTTTCCTTGTAGTACTTACTCCCCTCAAGACTCTGAGGACATTGCACCTATGGATCTAGTCACATTGCATTGCAAGTTTCTGTCATATGTCCCTCTCTAATGTTCTATGTTCTGAGGGCACTGATGAAGTCTTGTGGCAAGAGATCTCTCAGAGCTACTGACTTCAAAGGCAGAAAGGATATACATACTAGTCATTCCTTGAAAATGTAAAGTAACAATATCCCCAGATGTTTATTTATTAAGGGAATGCCGTCGTTTTATAAAACTATGTATTTTTAGTTAAGTTTATATGTTTGTGTCAAAGTATGGGTTTGTGTAGAGGAGTACAGTATCAATGGAGGCCTGAAGAAAGTATCAGATTCCCTGGAGTTGGAGTTACAGGTGGATGTAAGCCTCGTGAGGTGGATGCTGGGAACCAAAAGTGTATCTCCAAGAGCAGTAAATGCTCTTATCCACCAAGCTGTCTCTCCAGCCCCCTCACCCTGGATATTCCATTTTTACCTGAAAACCCTACTTAAAGTTATTTCATTTCAAAAGACAAAATATATGGTTCTGAGAAAGCCATTATTATTTTCTGCTTGTTATCCTACCTTCCATGGTACCAAAAAAATTCGACCAGACAATAAGTGTGCTTATATTTTCTTAACAGGCAATAAGTGGTACAGATTAAAAAGCAAACACACTAGGAACACTGAAATGTGAGAATAAAATGTTAAAGGCTTTACATTAGATAGGTAATATGACCTAATAATGGAAACACCACAAAGTAAAGCCAAGAGGAATAATAATAAGTGACACCAGGAGAAGAATCCATTCTTCACGGTAATTCTCATAGAAGCCATCCTTCATAAAAGATGAAGATCAATCTCTCTGCTATTTAGGTCCTGAAAATATATTAAGAAGTACACACAGACCAAAGATAGAAGGGAGGGGGAAGGGAGCAAATGGAGGGGAATAGATGATTCAAAGGTGTCATAAAATGAGATCATTTTAGGAAAGAAACTGGGAAAGCAAACAACTTGAATGAACACCTATATAATTGCCTCCAGACTCCTAATTTGATTATCATAACAAAGACACATAATTTATATTACAAAACAGGTTTAATGAGTTACTGGCACTCCTTATTCTTGAGGAATTCTGGTAGTTTCTAATGCTGAGACCAAAGAAGAGCATGAGGGCTACAGCAATGCTTTTAGTAGCTTTCAAACATCTCTGCTTGCACTACACATTCCATCATTAGAGAAGATTACTGAACCTCATTTGGGATTGTCTATGCATAAGAAGATATTATAAATAATTAATATTTGATTCATGTACACACTGTTTGCATAGTAGATGTTCTTAATATCTTTGGGGTATTTTGTCTGTGTGTGTGTGTGTGTGTGTGTGTGTGTGCGGGCACGTGTGTGTGTGTGTGTGTGTGTGTGTGTACTGCTGATGATCACACTCAGGGAATTGTGCATTCTAGCAAGTGTTCTTGAGCATCATCGCTAGCTCAATTCTAGCAAACTTTTAAGTTGAAAATGTAGATACAATTCTCTTAAGCAATATCTATGAAAGTTAGATACAAAAATGTACAAGATGAAGTTACCCTAATTTGAATATAATGTGAGTTTTCTATGAGAATCACATTGAAATGGATTAACTAAAATAATAACAATGCTTGGAACAGAAATTTTCATGAAATAAATCCACAGACGTGAAAATTCCAGTGCAAACATTATTCAAATACCATGTGTAATTGTAATTTCTTGAACACATTAAAAAGAAAAAAGTATTTTAAATTAATATCAATATTTCTATTTAAGGTGATATAGCAAAAATACAATTTAATTCCCATTGGTATGAAATGCATTATACTTGTCTCCAGTCCCATCTTTACTATCTACTTAGTGGTATAAATGTAAGCCTGTTTCCTTCAGATATAGCACGAATTTAACTACTGTTTCATATTCATTCGTAGTTAGGGCTACATTCAATGCACCTTTAAAATGTAGTTAACTGCTCTGGTCTATACATGAATAGTTTTTTACTTATTTCCCACTCTGGCCTTTTTCAGTTTTTGAAGAGTGATCTGGTAGCTTGCCATCCTTCATGTTTTCCTAAAGTGTCCTGAAAAGATACCCACGCTTACCGTTTCCTCATAGTCATCTTGAAGGGATGGGGGCAGTACAGCGGCCAGGAACAAGAGTAAGGGCAGAAGCATCATGTCTAGAAAGCAAGAGAAAAAAAAGAACTGCATTATAATGGGTAGTTACATGCATTTCCGAGTAACACGGAAGTGCTGGAGGAAGTAACGAGACCCACATCCCAGATTTACTAGCAATAAAACAAGGAGGACATACTATTTATATCATCAACATGATGACAAAATAAACTCAAAAGGCCTGCTTGCAGCCAGTGCAATAAAGAACAAAGCAAAGTACCTAACAGAAGCCCCTGAAGCAGGAACCTATGAATGCTCTGGGAAATTAGCTCCTCCCCCCAGTCACACTCAACTCCATTTAGGTCCTTTCTTCAGATTCTAATTTAGGAATTCTTCCTCTGTCCTTTCAACAGTAGCAAAAGCTCCCAGCTATTACCATGGCAGGGCACCAGTATGGTATAATTAACCCTTGTTGAATCCTTTCAGCTCTGCCTACTCCATTCTATGATGTTTGTTAGTTATTCATCCATTAGACGTGTTTCTATTCTTTCATTTTTAGACATGGTTTCACTACATAGCCCAATCTGGCTTCAAACTTACAACGCTGCCTCAGAGGCTGAAGTGCTGTGACATATGCATACCTGACCACACACAACTCTAGCCTATTTTTAAATCAATGGCCTTAACTTGGCTCATGTGTCTTTTGCTGTCAAGTCTAGTCCATAATACCAAGACTGATCCTGAGAAAACTTAAACTTTCATTATCATCATATTCTACATTTAATGGTAAATGTATGATAAATTAATGACATGTTCAACAATAGGAAAAACTTTTAAATAGTCTGGAACACATTCTCTTATTAAGGTATTAAGTAAAGCACACACACACACACACACACACACACACACACACACACACACGTATATACTCTAATGTGTGCCAGTATGTGTGTATCTGCATACACATGAGAGGGCAGACTTCATGTATCTTCAATTTCTGCCTTGCAAGATAGGAAGATAGGAACTATCAGGGAGCCCAGATCTCACCATTTCAGTTAATCTGGCTACACAGCTTTCTCTCTATTCTCTCTGCCTTATGCCTGCACTGAAGTTATTAGCATGCAGCCACGCCCTGCTGGTTTTTACATGGGTTCTAGTGATTTAAACTCTGTCCCTTGTGCTTGCATAGCAAGTGCCTTCTCTCCAGAGACAAATTGTCAGCACCTACAGCTCGCTTTTAGTGATTTCTCCCACCAGTAAGCAATGTTTTACTTACTCTACAATGAATAGAGGTCTATATAGTAGATGGATATAATACTTAAAAAGGTAATTTTCATGAAATTTTCCATTGCACCCTTTATCCCAACTTACGCACACAAAATAAAAGGCTATGTTTGCTGTTATTTTGTTATGTGCCTCTCTGTGGGTTTCATTTACAACTCATAAAAAACAAATAGAGAGATACTGTGACTCAATATCCCACTTAAACATGAGCAATCTTAGTGTTACAGACTTAATACTGAGGTGTCATAAAAATTCAGGGAGCATAACTGGGACCCAGTCACCATCTCTCTGGCTTCGAAGCCTTCAGTTCTGAGAGCCAGCGATTGCAGTGTTCAGGGATTATGTAGATGAGGAAGTATGTCAATAAATCCCCAGCAGAGGTACGTGGAGTGAGTGCATTACCGGAAGAATCACATGACAAGTAGTCACCTTCCCCTGAGTATCTGCTGTAGTATTTTCTATATTCCAATGTAATATGTAATTGCCCCGCAAATTGATTTGTCATGTTTCTCTGAGCTATGAAGCAGTCAACACAGAACATAAATTCTACAGCTGGAAGTCATTATGGAGACAATCTGGACAGATATCTTATAAGAATGACAGCCTTGTCCACTCCTAAAAAACATTCTTTTTTTTTTTTTTTTTTTTTTTTTTTTTTTTTTACATTTTCTAAGAACGAATATTTCTGCTTCTTTGAACTTGCTAAGCAGTGGCACTGGAATTGTGAGCTGGGTCTGATCTACAATAGTTGGAATTTCTGCCACTCATTTCTGAGATTTACTTGTGCCTTTTGTGAAATGAGCTGTCTCACATCAAGGATTGAGAGTTACCATAGAGCAGTCTATTATCTAAAAGCTGTAAGGATTGACATTTAATCATAACCTTGACTGCTTTTGATCCAAATTCAAGTGTTTAGCCAGACTGGCAGGCACTGTGGTTCAGATGTCAGCTAGTCGAGTATATCATTTAAACACATATAGAAAAGCATCAATAAATGCCCCTTGGAATTACAATCTTTTCTAATGCCATATACTTCCCTTTTTATTGACATTGGATAGTATCATAATATTCTAATATTCTCCAGAAACATTTCTTGTCTGCCCCAAACACAAATATCTTTGAGGGAATCTGCTTTGCCATATAAAATATGTGCATAATTTATACATGTATAGAATTTATAATCTGTTTGAGAATATTCACCTATGACCAGAAAAAAAAAAGAATGGTTTTCTTTTCTGCTTGTCTGTGTTTTTTGGGGCCAGTTATATATTCTTCTGATGAGCAGCAATAGCACATTTATTTCAAGGTCAGTGCTATAATGTTGATTTTTCCAATTTAAAATCATTAACAAGGCTACTTTCCTATCCATAATCTAATGATATTTGCATCAGTGCACGGGAAAATCTCTACACTTATAAATTCTATTTCTAGTAAAGATGCATCTAATATAACTACTTTGAAAAGTCATAGACATCATTTCTGATTTTAGAATTAAAAAAAAAATCCATTCCCACATCTCTGAGCAAAAGCATTTCAAGGATAACAAATAAGCTACTGAATTCATGGATCCTTAGCTTAACAACAGCAAATAAAAGAAATTGTTCTCAATAAAATTATCGGTATGGTTCTGATGGCAAGCAAGATGTGCAATCATTAACTAGAACACTTTGCTGCTGCTGAGTTATGAATGCGATCACATCAGGAGATTCGATTCAAAATGGAGAAGTGCTACTTACTGCTGACGTCCAAGCAGAATGGGGTATGTGTGCCGCTGGAAGAAGAGAGTGATGACAGACAAGTGTCGGAACTATCTATATGTACTCTACCTATTTCCTGTTTTGGAACAATCTGGTTGGGCAAGCACACCTTGGTTAACAAGGTATGACACAGGATCTGTCATGCCAGATTTTATGGCTGGTCATCTAACTGAAATTTTGACATCATGTATTGAGTCTGTATATGGCTATTAGAAAGAAATTGCTAGGATATTTACTAGCTCTTTGGTGCTCACCCAGTGTTACAATGTGTCTACATATTTGTCAATAGAATCCTCAAAAGCTCTTAACCCGTTCATTTTCATCTTATCAGAGCCATACTTCCCTCTTTTAAGGGAATTGCAGAGGCAACTCAGTGGTTAAGAGTAACTTACACTCTTCCAGAGAATAATGAGTTCTGTGTCTTCCGCCCATGTCATGTGTCTCACTACTGCTTCTAACTCCAGCTCCAGGGGACTTAACACCTTGTGGTCTGCATGAACACTTTACTCATATCCTCATACCTCTACACAGAAGCAAATATATGCATACATATTTTTGCATACTTTCAAAAATTATTCCCTTAAGAATGAGTGTGAGTTTATATTTTTCATGATCACTAGGGAATTCAAGATTCATTCACAGAAATCAAAAGCATCCATAACTAATTTTTTTAGACAACTTTGCTTTGAAGCAATTGTGTTTTGCCTTTGTAAATTCAATGTGATGGTGCCTTCTAGAGTATATTGCCAAAGAACCCCAGAGCCCTCTGGTATTTTTAAAGGTCTGTAGTTTTAGGTTGTATTTTCTGGTTGAACAAAGTTGAACACAATATTGAGCAACATATCAAACTGCTATCATTTGAGTGTGTAGACCCACATCATAAAAATGAAGCAGGATAGACTAAGAGAAAAAAAATTCCTAGGCATTGCTATTAGGAAATATTTTTTGATAAATAAGCAAGGATAAATTAAGCAATCACAGCAGTATATACATAGAACTGAGAGGCATTTCTGGAAGCTCATGTTGTCATATACATTGTAGCACGTCATGTGTAATTCAATTATTTGTTCTCATTTTTTTATTTATCATTAAGTTCACTGAATTATGTAAATAAGATATACCAGAAAACAGAATCTATGCAATTCATGTTTTAATTATATTTAATCATAGGGTTAAGTATTAGACACTGTTATTCGTAAGACACTATTTAAAGTTCTGGGTGGACTTGACCACAAGAAATTAAAGGCTCACAGGTTGCTTAACTGTCTCTCATCACTTCCTTATGTGTATTTTTTTTAATATACAAGTGAGAGCCAGGTGGTAGTAGTGCTCACCTTTAATCCCAGCATTTCAGAGGAGAGGCAGGAGGATCTTTGTGAGTTTGAGGCCAGCTAGATCTACAGAGTGAATTCCAGGAAAGATAAAACTACACACAGAGAAACCCTGTCTCAAAAAATGAAAAAGAAAATTTACAAGTGCAGTGTGAGCTCTAAGTAAGTAAATACCATCCCTGAAGCACATTACCTTAGGATTTGCTGTCTCTACATCTTTCCAGGGAAGAATGTGTCATGGGTATGATCAGAACAGAACAGTCTCCATCCTCACCCTACTGGCTGCATAATGGTGTACAAGATTGTCATAAGCTTGACATTTCAGTTCTCATGAACAAATGGTGAAATTTTTACAATGATGTGCACTTAGATTATATATATGAAAATACTGTTTATCTTACTTGTCATAAAATGGTAGAGTACATATCACCCATTGCCATGTAGCAGGTCTTTATTTTCAAGGTCATTGTTTATGTGTGTGTGTGTGTGTTAAATGCCTCTATTCTTTTTTACCTGAATAAATGTATTCTAAACATCTGTGAATTATGTGAGAATAAGTTGATTTTACTAACCTATAGGAAGTAGTTTGTTTTGGGAGAAATACCCATGAGAAGTAGATGCAAATGGCTTGAAAAGCAAAGATATTCTGGCATATGGTTCCTGCTTCATGAATTTTCTTAAATTTCAACTT